TATGACAATGATTATTGGCTTTTATTGTCATTCTAAATACGACAGCACTTCATTCCTCTTGACCTTGAATGTAGTGTACACCAGTAAGCTTATACAACGGAAATTCAAAAATTCGAAGACTTAAGTCACTGAACTTATTCGTTTACCGAAAAGCAATTCTTCACATATTTAGTAAAATTCCTTTCATAAATATTAAATGTAATATGAATACTGATTTTGAAAATACATTAACAACATTCACGTTCGAAATAAATGCATACAGATGAAAGTTAAAAGTTTTCTGCCGGAATAAGTTCGTTTTGAGCGTCCGTACTGAAAAATATTCTGGCAGAGCGAAGTGAAAAGTACAGCAGGTCAAATTCCTGAAAACAGTCAATTAAGTAGGCATTAAAAGTAAAGTAAAAATTCAATATATGGACATTCTTTTCGGCACAGTTAAGCGAGTGAACGCTAAGCAAAAACCAGGTAAACACTAAGTATGGAATGGCGATAAGTGGAAGCAAAGTGTGCAAATGTCAAGCAATATTTGGTAATAGTAAATAGTTAAAAAGATGTAGAAATTCATGACGGAAACGTGAGCAAATCGACGGGCTTCATCAGGCGTGCGAAGAACACCTATATAATTTAGACCGTCTTTCTACTGATCAATGAACAGATAGTCAATCAGTGCCACGCTTCTTTCAAGCGGGTAAAGTTACGTAAAATACAACAGGAATAACACAACGTACTTCTAATTTACTGCGAAGTTATAAAGTGCCGACTACTAAAAACAACTGACAATCAACGGAGCTCTAGACAATAAAAAGAAAGGAGCTCAAGTGTTTCAGCGTAAAGCCGTAGTCTGCTCAAACGGTATTTTACTCGTCTACGGGTAACGGCCTGTGGCTATACACCATGAAACTCGGTTAGGAATAGTGACGCATTTATAAGCAAAAGTCACTATGTGCTTTATTCATCCGAAGTACAGGTGTCCAAATACCATAGATCCGTGACTAACGTAACCAGGAGTAAGGGGCTATGAGGCAGCATGAAATTTTGTTTTGGAGGAGTTATAGTACAATACAGAATTTGTTTTTGAAGTCTCCGAAAATGCGAAAATCTAGAAATGTGGTAAGGCTGTTGGAACACATGAAATCTGCAATGATATGCTTAAAGGATTAGTTTAACAAGTCATGCTGTGGCTAACGCGTGTCTGTAAAAGCGCATATGGGGTAATGGGTTACATGCACACAATGCAATGGGTAACCTACCAATGAACTGGACCACGGAGGCTATAGTACCCATGTTCAAGAAAGAAGACTATAAGGAGTACTGCAATTATCGGGGCATTATACTGTTGTGCCTCCCAAGTATAGTCTACGCAAAGAAGCTAGAAAGGATGTGCCACGCAATAAAGGACCCTTCTAAGTGTAATTTCTGGCCCAGCCGAAGCATATCTGACCAAATGTTCGCCGTTAACCGTAGGAGTTTGTTCAACCGGTTTATATGTGCTTTGTGACCGGACTCCGCGCAATGATCTGTGGGCATGCCTGTGAACATATGGGATCAATGATGAGTTGCTATGGGCTATCCGATCATAATATGCTGATAGTAGGTGCTGCGTCAGAGTCAATAGCGTTAGGTTGAAACCTTTCAGAACTGACACTGGTATCCGCCAAGGTTGCGTTCTGCCCCTTCTGTTTAAGTTGTACATGGATAGTCAGGCGTAGATAAAGCGATGAGTGCGTCCTAGTGGGGGGTGCAGACACGAGAAGCTTTCTGTTTGGAGACGACCTTGTCTTGTTTGTGTGTTTCAAAAATGATCTCCAGTGCCATCTGGCAAGGTTCGCAAGGGAGTACGACGTGGTCGGCATGTGCGTGAACGTATGTATAAAACGAATAGCCTAGTTGTTACTCGTTATCCTGCTTGTTGTCATCTTCAGAAAAGTAGTGGAGCAGGTAGAGAAGTTCAAGTACCTCAGAATCGTGTTTGCTGGTGATGGGAAATTTGAGGAACAGTTCAACCGGTTAACTGGAGTAGCCAGTGGCAT